CAATCCCTTTAGATATATCGACAAATGTCTCCCTACTAATACGAAAGAAATGTTGGTAAAATCCCTGTTTATGTCGCTCATTTCGACTACGGGGATATTGTGGGTATAAAATTTAAACAGATTCAACTCGGCTCAAACTCTACAAGAGGGCTCAAAAATCCTGTAATTCGTTTCATTATACATAAAAAAAATCCGTATCACATCTCTGAGTTTACAGACACACAAAATATTAACACTAAAGGATAGGCGATTGTATCACAGCCTTTTGTCTTTTATTTAGATGCCCTAAAAATGGGTTCCCCGAGCATACTTAAACAAACTATTTTTACATCTTAAATCATCTAGATTTCAGAAATCCCAGTTACTCTGCATTCCAAAAAGCCAAAACCAGCATACTACAATAAATCGTTCGCATTACTGTAGCCCGCGAACGGAATAAATTGCCTCCCAATATTAAAAAAACCCTCTTCATTCACATCTTTTAAGAAGCACCTGCATGATTTTTTTACACAGTAAAATACACCATTTGTAAGATTACGGTCAAATAAAAACTAGTTCCTTAGGAATGTTAAGATTAATGTGTTTTTAGAAATCAACATTAATGTTTCTTTTTGTAAAAATAGTGTTACTTTTTGCGACCTGTTTGATATGCCGGAACTTGTTACCTTTCCCATCCGTAGAGGCAGAGGCGGTTTTAAACAAGAAAAACCACCCTTTGCAGCAATGGACCGCAGCTGAGGTACCATCCCAATGACCCGTTACTTCATGTTTAGCTTAGTTTCCACTGTATTCGGACACAGGTCTGCCTGGGGTTTTTCCCCGACTAGCGTGTTTTCCTCCAGGATCGATAGCGCGTGATGGATGGTCTTTCTGTATTAATAGATCACAGTCGCTCGGGGTGAATTACCAGGCTGCCACGATAGCGCGCCAGATATTTAAAAGCACAATCTCATTTAAATTCAAATTGTTGTTTTTCATTCTCAGAACATGATTTTAAAATTATTTCAAAATTATATTGTAACATTTTTCGCATTTTAACCTCTGGATGTTCTCTCTTTATAAAGTTGCACTTTAAATAATTTCCTTTCCACTAACTAACTTACAACTTGTAGCATTACATTAAATTTAAATTTTAAATAACATACTTTTTGTAATTTTATATTTAATACATTACTCTGTATATTGTGTGACATGTGGTCAGGCGGAAGAGCGGCCTGATTGGCCGAGCCTCGCATAATTAATAAAGGCATATTATTATTATTATTATTATTATTATTATTATTATTATTATTATTATTATTATTATTATTATTACTTCAAACTTGCGCTTCTGATTTATACAAACTACAGAAAGCTCTTTTCGAAAACTATATTTGAATTCCTTGGAAAACCCCTTGGTCCTCATGCACAGTGTTCGAAGCGAATGGGGAATGCACGTCATCACTCGGAAAACGAAAACACCTGTAACATTTTCCAACAACGCTTTGGAATTTCACGGACATAATATACGACTTAGTGCAAGAAAAATAACTCTGAAAATTGAAACTTGGAATATTCAAAAGCTATCAACCAAAGATGCAAAAGTATTCAAAGAAATTGACAATCACGATGTGGATCTTGTTGCATTTTCAGAAACAAAAAAGAAAGGTGAAGGTTCAGAACAGAAGGGTGGTTCTTTAGTACATATTTACTAGGGGATACCAAATGATTAGAAAGGTCTTAGTGGTGTGTCATTGGCAATGAGACGAAAGTAGAGGAATAACACAAAATACTGGTAGCAGATAAATTACTGAATGCAGCAACATTTTAGAAGTATACATTTATAATTTCGCAGCAGCCGGATCGAATTTCACTCCCGAAATTCAATTTTCTTAAAGATAATTTTTTCGAAGAAAAAAAAACTGGTTCTGGTAATCTTCATAAAATTCAAAATAGAATATGAGGTATTTTTTTCTAACGGGAACTTTCGGGAAGACAGTTACACACACTCACACACACACACACACATACACACGCACACGCGGGATGTTGCTGTAGAAGTTGTTTTCTGATCCTAGGGTCGCACCAATTGATGAGTCGATCTCTAAGAGACGTTGCAGCAAAGTTGCCATCTTGAAACACGTCTGTTTTGGCAAACAAAATTCCAGTTCTTGCCAATTCATTCAATTCATTCGACACAGTTGCAGTTCATTCTTTAATTCCCCTAGCAATTCAGTAATTCGGAATCGAATGAAGGTATTCTTCGGGCGCTCTCGAATCCAAGAAGTACCACATTTAGCTAAGGAATGCAGATAATGGCCTGGATAAAGCTATATCTAAGTGGCTGTAATCGATGTGAAGAATGCTTTGAAGAACTACTCTGAGATTCGCGTAACTGTTTATACGAAAAATGAGGTGATTTAAAAAAATCCGCAGCAAAAAGCGTTCAACTACTTTCCACTCTTTCGCTTCACTGTTTTACCTATTACTTGCAATGACGAATTGGATGTTTATGTCTGATTTCATTAGTGAACACAAAATGTAAATTACTTTCTTTCATATATACGATTTAATTAAGGCGATGGTTTAATGTAGACAGTGTTCCTCTATTATAAAGAATTCAAGTTTTCTTGAAATAGCGATGTTAAAAAACGACCGGAAGATAGTTTTCTCGAAATAACTAACGACACCGATACTGGCACTGAGACTTCAAAACCGGTCGCGGGCGCGGTCGACGATACGTCGCCGCTCCGAGCGAATGAAAAACCGCATCGGGCGAAAGCGACCGGTTGCCTGGCCGGAGGGAGGCCGGCGCTGACCGGTGGAGGTGCAGGCTGCCTCGAAAACGAGCAGCTGCCGTTACGCACTGGCCGCTACCACCATGCTCCGCTGCGGCACGCTGTCCTTCGCCGTCTGGACGATGATTGCCATCGCCGCAGCAGATTCGGCTTTAACAGGTAACGGGACAGCGATCGACACAATACCACCAACTCGCTCGTGTGAATTTTTGAAAGCGTAGGATTTATTTGAATATCCAACAGATGTTTCGTTTTGAGATATGCTCACGTATTCTTTTGTATATTGAGAGTAATTAATTAAACATTATACTGCGTGTACATAACTTTTGTAAGTTCAATTTACTTGATTCTCGCAGTATTAACAATTCTGGATGTGTGAATGAATGCCAAATTAAAGACTAAGTTGATTAAATGATTTTATTGAAATGACTACAATGTAATTATTTTTGAAAATAAAAACATATTCCGAGAAAATTCATTTGATGCAATATAAAAGTTTTTTATCCGTGAATATTCATGCCACTCAATTTACTACGTAATTTGCAAATTGCATTAAATTGACAAAGAAAGTGTTCATTACTGAAATTTGCAAAGTAAGAACTGTTCCTGATATTTCTAAGGGTTTCAGATTTTTAAATATTCTAAACAAGCTGTTCAGAAACATTTTAATGGATAGTGGGCAAAGCGGAACAGCACAACTAAATATCTGAAATTCGGGTTGCGTCTTTTCACAAAGCAGGATTTTCTTGTTGTTGAACATCAAAGATTTGTAGCGTGGGACAATAATTACTTTCAATTGAAATTACATTCATTCATTTTATTTTTTTAAAGGAATTAACTATTAAAATGGAAGACTCCCCTATTTATATTTCAGGCATAGAAGTCAATCCCCGCATGTTCGCGTTTGATGCAGTAAGAACAATCTGAAGTTTGTAATGACTTATTGAATTCCACATAATTGAGAATCACATTTTCCTTCACAATGCAATAACACTGAGATGCTAAACACAATATCCATCTATTCGTTATTAAAAGAACATCGTGTCCTAGCGCACCCGATATACCCACCAGGAATCGTTGTATATTTAGTTATATTTTCACTTTTTAATTTATTTAGTTTGCTCACTCTTCAACTTAATCACATATAACAGAAGGTATGCATAGATATTGACATAAAATGTTAAATATACATTAGTAATAACAATAATAATAACTTAATAATTATCTTAAGTTTTGGCACTGGTCTCATGAACGCAAAAATAACGGTCTCTCATTAGTCTGAAGCGGTCAGGGCAAACCAAGGAAAATAAAAGAAGTGTGCTACATTTACGTGTATTTCTTGTATTCATTATTCTTCCAAAGTATTCCTAGGATTTAAGTAGGCACACGGCTTGTCACTAGTGCCAATAGACATCACTTCAGAAGACAAATATACTCGTACTACACCAATTCAGTTTTGATGCGTTATTATATTTTAATAGGGAATTTCTACCCTTCAACAAATTGATTTTTGAATCATTGGCTGTTACAAAGGTTTTCTACTACGCATTTATTGCTACTTAAGAATTTCTTTCTTTCTTTCAGGCGTGGGAACACAACTTCAAGGTCCTCCTTCAAGACTCGGAGAACAAGGTACGTATTTACCATTTTATCATGGACTAAGTATTACTGACAATATAGCCATGTTTACTCACTGTCCTAATTCTGAAGGTTTGATTCTACATTAAGTTTCATATCATTGAAATAATTATATCAATTTATAGGGAGTTGTTAGCAGCTTTTATATTTTGGAAGCAGTGATGGACAATGAGAATGTGACTTTATGTAGTCAGGAGAAACAACTCGCTGCGTTAAGTAATCGGACCCTAATCCTAGATTAATGGCGATCATTAATTATTTTAGAACATGTTTGAGGTTGAACACGATTCAATGTGAGCTCACTTTGCAGCTTCATGAACTGAGCGAGGAGAGATCTTCCGGTCTCATTTAAGGACATTTCTGTAATGTATACAGAACGGTATTTCGCAGCACGACAGCTAATGGCTCATTGGTTCAAGAGGTTCTTAAAGATATTGAGATTTTACCATGACTTGCTAACTCTCTAGACTTTTCAGTTAAAAGTCTGAAAGTTACTGTTGTACTTGAAAGAACTTCGGGTGTAGTTTGATAGAATAATACAATTTGGCTGATATTTGAAACCTTTAAATTTATTTTCAAAAATTACATTCTAGCCAATATGATTTTATACAACATTCATTTGCGCATGGACAAACCTTGGAAAGCTGATGGATATTTTCATTAATAATTACATTTAAGCTTCATATGATGTGGAAAATATTGCGTTGGAAAGAGTGGGAAAAATATTATATAGATTTGATCACAACAAAAGAGTGCCAGAAGGAAGTATCCCAAAGGCGGTATTGGAATGGAATCATAAACGGAAGAGGAAATGAGAAAGACCTTTTCATTTATGGATACCGCAAATCATACTTAAAAAAGAAGAGCATTACATGATGGAAATATTATTAACAGAGATGACTGGAAGGAAACTTTTAACCTGCAATGAATTGTATTTACATTAAAATAGTTGATGTTGGGTTGAGGAAAACCACTGTTTTGTGAAAAAGTCTTAAATAACCAATGATAACATGCAACATTACTCATAACCGTCTCGGCGACAAGTAACTAACGCAATTTTCATTCTGATCCACTTAAAAACCATTTCTGGCGGAATGCTGGTCATTAGCTCAACGCTCCTTAACTACTGTCATGCCGAACACCAATTGGTATACGAGGAAGGGTTTATATTTACAGTAGACACGCAGGTGTTTGAATTTTGATTTATTCATGAGCCATGTCTCCATACACTTTCTGACTGACTAAATTCTTGTCCTGGGAATAATAGTGCCTTCGATTGAAGAATTTTATTTTATTACAATAAATTCATTTTTATCAACTGTGTTAGACAAAAAAGAACCTAACAAGATAAACTCCTTTAAAGACTTAAAATACTCTAATCTTTGATTCGAAGATCTGTGAAAGTTGGGAAAATCTGTACAAAATATAGTCACATAGTGTATGATAATTTGACTTCCTATGATGCTCCTTTTTTACCAGATGATTCTGAGGATTTAAAGGATTAGTGTCTTTTTTATTATTAACACACACACATCCGCACACACACACATCCCCACACATCCACATCCGCACACACATACATATCCGCGCACGTACACACACTTCCGCGCACGCACACACACATCCGCGCCCGCACACACATCCGCACAGACACATCCGCACGCACACATCTGCACGCACGCACACACACACACACACCAACAACACCACACACATCCGCGCACACACACATCCGCCGTTATTTTTTTTTTTTTCTTTTCTCACTGCCGCACCACACACATCACATCGCCACACACACATCACGCGCGCACACACACATACACCATCCGCAGCTCACACACTCACATCGCGGCCGCCACACACATTCGCGCGCGCACACAACATTCGCGCGCGCACCCACCACCAACCCCACATTTTTTTTTTTTTTTCCCCCCCCGGGGCCCCCGGGGGGGGGGCCCCCGCACCACGCACACACATCCGCACACACATGCACCCCACCCCCCCATTCTGCAGACTACATTCATCTTGCGCCGCATATTTTCTTTTTTTATACAAAATACTGGGTATAATTGGAGTTGGTAATAATAAAATAATATCTATTATTATCATATTGTATTATCATTCATATCATATCATATTCGCATTCAAATAAAAATTTGTAAGTCTTTCTTTGAGTTTAAATGTGAGTCTTTATTGAAGTTTAGGGAAATTTATTTGAATGAATTCCTCGAGGACGTGACTTACGAGATACCAGTTGAGCCAGTTTGACAGGTTACGATTTCCACACGCTCAAAGAAGTGTAGTTTTCGAAGCATGTTGAACAGACTGTTAGGAATAGCGGAAGAATATACTGACTTAATTTTTTTATTACAAGCATAACAAATGGTTAATTATGGGAGGTAGTTATATATGAAGATAAAATCATTTTCTGTCCTCATCAATTAAGAACCATCCGTTTGTATAATTCGTTTTCTTTGATTGAATATGTTTGCTTATTGAATAATGATGATATAATAAAAATAGTCCGAATATCATCGTATGTAATTATAGACTCCAATTCTTGAGGACATTATCTACTTTGGTATCTATATCACTATTAGCATTAATATTATTTTAGGGAAACATTGTTCTTCGTCAGACATTCGTCCCCTAATTTTTTTCTATAAATACCGAACTACACATACAAAATGGCATTTGGCCTTTCTTTCAGCTCTTAATTACTCACATCCTATCGCCAACTTCATCACAAAAAACAATTCAAGAAATTGACAAAGCCATTTTCTCCCTCAACCACACCATTCATAATTCTAGTCAATCCAAATGGTTTAAAGAGACACTGATTAGGTGTAAAATTGTAGCGGTGATGCACTTTAGTTTAATGTCTCCTCTCCAAAGGTCTCTACTATCTTCAGTATTGTTTTTTTTCAAACTCTTGCATTTAAATCTCAACTAATTTTCAAATGATCACTGTTATTAATTTGAGAAATAAATTTCTGTAGATTTTCATAAAAAGTTATGGTTTCTTCTATTTTCCCTTTTCTGGGACACATACTCCAACCACATTTAGATGTCCTCTCTATTTTTAATCTTACTTTTATTATTCTTTCATTTACATAACTTACTATTTTAGAGGTCCATTTCTTATTAATAAATATTGCTACTCCACTACTTGCTCTTTGACTTTGGTCTACTCCAGAATAGATCTTTAGTTCCCTTAATCTTCTTCGTTTCTGTTAAAACGGCTTTATTAATGCTACATTCCTTTAATTCATCATAGAGTTCTTTTTATTTGGTACCTAAACCTCTTACATTCCATGTGGCAACTTCTAGTCTATCCTTTATTCCGAATCGCTTGTCCTTTTCTCGCTTATTTTAAATGTGGGATTTAGCCGGATTATCTGTGAAGATTTTCAGTAATTGAAATGCCCCCTGAACGCGTTACAGGCGCCGTGCAGGGTAATCCCAATAGCTGGGCTGCCACTTCACTGTTTCTGAGCCAGCATGATTTGATATCATTTTCCCTAAGGAAGTCTCACCTGGAGAGTCTCCCCTACCCTTCGAGGAGCCTTCTTCCGCCAGTTTCGCCGACGAAGCCGCCGTTGAGGTCCTCTTCTGAAGTACTTCTTAGTCTGACCCCTCCCGTTTGATCTGTCTGGCAAGAGAGGCCCTACCGGTATATATTGAAAGTATTGAATGTATTGAAAGTAGTGGGGAGGGACCAGAGACTGGTGGGACGTCCGCCATTATCGCCCAGCCTAGTAAGTAGCGCTGTTCAGGGGCTTTTGCGAACTAATCTTAAAAACATTGAAAGTTTGATTTTGTTCGTACAGTTATACATGTTATAGAACAGTATTGTTCAGAATGTTATTGGTAATGTTCTCCTGATGTTCTCTTTCGCTGTACTTTTGCTTAAGAGTGATTGGTTATTGTGGTTGTTTAGTAATTTTGAAGGAAAATGCCGAAATATAGGCGTTGTTGGGTTCTCAATTGTCACAATAGCCGAAGGAGAGATGCGGAAAAGAAGTCTGTGTACTTTTCCAAATGATCCTAAACGGTAAGTGAAATGAAATATTTGGCACGATTCGTTTCGAATGGTTTCAAGTATTTAGGATAATGAATATTATTTATTTATTTATTTACAAATAACCCGTGGCATATTTAAATAACATCAAATTTTGCTAACATAGCCTCACTGCATAATTTTAACAATTATTTCAACGGCTCTTTAACAGTTTTTCAAATAACAAAATCAATATAATCAAAATAACCATTCTTTAAAAGTTTAACTGGTCATGAAATAACATTCTGCAATTTATATGAGAAATTAAGTTTCTTGGCTATCTTTTTCTTTATGTATTGAACATCCGGAGTTTAGGGTGGCACCGGTTCCTTTGGTTCACTGATTCGGTTCACTAATCTCGTGATTCACAAGATTATAGTTTCGCGGTTCACTTCAATCACTGGAGAAATATTTTGATGGCATTGATTCAAAACATAAATATATACAATATTTAACTATGTTACTATGCCAAATAAAGTTATACATTTTTCCAATTACAAAACATTTTTTCTTCATGATACATTTTAAATTTCAATTCACATCTAAAATTTCACTTCACAACACTCCTTTAAATAACAAAATTAAGACTTAAGCTAGCTGGTTGAAATAGACTTGATTTACTAATAAAACAGCCTCCTAATAACACTTTAGTTATTACTATGACTACAAAATTATTTACTTCATAATTTTATGAATAGTCAAATTGCGAAGAATTTTGTGGCGTGGATTTGCGTGTTTTATTGCCATTTCAAGTTTCCTTTTCATTGTTTTGTGTGTCTACCGAGATGGAAGGTATAAATTCAGAATTTTTTTATGATTTGCGCCGAAAGGGAGGTTTGAATTTGATTCAGTGGTGTCAGCAGTGGCGGCTCTGGGATTAGGCATCAGGGAGGGCACACAAAGTTACAGGATCAAATAAAGTTAGGCATTTGAAATATTGTTATATTTGGATTGTTTAAGTCACATAAGTAAAATTTACAATCGAATTTTCTCCCCGGAAGACAGGCTAAAC